TACGCGACATTCTGTGCGTCCTCCTTTACGTCCTCTTCGTCCTCTCTCGAGACCCGCTCCATCGCACCTCCCCTTTTTTCTCGTCAATCCCGCGTGGTACCACGTTTCTTTCCCCGATGACGGCAACTTTTTATCAACCGCGAGACTCACATACTTCCTGCCCGACAACGGGCTGAAATTCCACGCGGTAGTCGTCACGATACACAGTAAGAAGCTAATCGAGCTGGATTCGCCAGAAGGAGTTGCCGAGTGATCCGGAGAGTCCCGCAGGAGAGAGGATTCTCCACGGGGTGCCAAGAGATGTTCCAGTCTTTCCCAGTTGGTTGTTCTTGCACCAATGAAAAGCACGCGGTACCAGTACGTTTTTTGCGTAACTTAATGAAGCGAAAGAAGGGCCGGCTTCTCCATTAGGCGATTTAACTCGCGGCTTGGACTTTGCTCTTTTTTCCTTTTTTCTTTTTTCTTCTTTTTTTTTCTTTTAATGAACACACATCTCTTAGGACACGATATTCGAAACATTCCCTGTTATAAAAAAATCGATAATTCATTGCCGAACGTGATAAATTTAGCGCAGATAGACTAGGTGTGAATTAACTCCACAATCTTATAAAAATAAAATACATAAAAAAATAATGATAAAACGTAATGATAAAAAGATTTGCTAATAAGATACAAACATATACATTTTCATTATATTCATTTAATATTATAATAAATGCAATAGAAGAGAGGAAGCATATATAAATAAGGTATGTCACGATATTTTATATAGTTTGCATTCTAGAAGCGACATATTAAAATGATAAAAACGATTAATGATTTGTATGTAACGATAGAGAAATCGTTTGGAAAATCGATAGGCTTGCGTGGCATATTTGTTCGCCAGTGTTCGCGATAATGTTCGGCGGAAGTTGTCTCTTTGGGAAAGTGGAAATAGCTGCTGGAATGTCCGAGAGCCTTTCAGCGTTGTAATAACGGAGACTACACGATCATCTTCGAGGATAACACGACAGGAAGTTTCACCACGGGGTGCTCGTGGTACATGCAACAGGGTCGAGGTCAACCGTCGACGAGTGATACCTACGCGGTTAGAAAGTCAAGAGATGTTCAGCGATTAATGCAACGTCTCCTTCGCGAACGTTCGACTACACTCGCTTCAATGCCGAGAAGCGATTGTTAATTGGAAAATCGGCGTTGCGGTTGATTCAACTCTCCGAGACGCGAAAGGTGCTTCTTCGACTTTAGGACTTACTCGGGACAATGCAAGAAGCTCTTCATGGGGTGCCAAGTGTACAGGAAAAGTTGTTTTGCTTTTGTGTAGTAGAAAGGAGGAATTATTATGCAGGCGTGATTATGCTGTCATTGTATTGATATGAGTCGCTTCTCTGGTGTCGCAAAACTCGATAAAACATTAAGCAAAGTTGTATAATGTACACATAGATAATCAACGTGAAAAAACATATCTTTGTAAATACGAGAAATATCATAATTCTTTGATAAAAAGGTTAGGCATAGATAGACAAGAGGACTATTATCTCGGAAATGGTGACAGATATGGCAAAATGCCAAATGCAGGACTATTTAATTCCTCTCGACCTATGAGAATGCCTCGAAGCTCTATCACGAAGGAATATCATAAATCACTCTTGTTCAAGAAAACAATCCTGATGTCTTGATCTGTGAAACTTTTTTTTGTCAGAATGTACTTTTATTATTTTATTTTAATAATTGATGATATTATATTAAACTTTTCTAGAGAAACTATACATCAAGGTACTTAATGACATTTGAAGAGATATCAATGTTTACATGACATGTTAATAAATGAGCTGAAAAGACGATGCAGTTAAGTTTCCTTGGGACTTCCTTCCTAGCTCGCAAACGTCACCTCTAGTCGACGTAGTAATAAACAGACCTTCACTCGGTAAAATGGATACGGAGAGACTGCAAAAACACACGCTCGCGTTCCAAATACCATGCGATCGTGATATCACTCCCGGATAAACTAGAGAAACAAATATCTGTCGTTTGATTATTTTCAACAAACTCGAATTTACGGTTAAAAAGTTGACACGAAGTCGAGGATGGGACAATGTTGTTCTTCCAACATCGACAGAGTATCTGGCGTAACGTCTATCTTGACGCCGATCGTGTCATAAATTGGTTTATTCGACCTACGCTATCGGACTCAGATACACGCTTATCTGTTTCTTTATACGTTTTCCAAACATGTATAAAAATGCACTGATCTTCCTATTCTTCTCCTCTTTTCGTCTAGCTGAAGGATGCGGAGAATCCGATATCGATTGTGATAACTAGCAATCATTTAGCACGACTAATCAAATGACCGTGTCTGGCACGATAACCCAGCAAATGATTTTGCACATGCTCGATTACTACGTGATATCATCCACGCACGGTAATATCATGTATATACATATGCATCATGTGCATCAAAACAGTTGAAGTGGCATTCATCCGGCCAAATATAACCCGCGTCACTATAACTAAGGATTTTATTGATAAAAATTAGCATTCGAGCATGCAATTTATTATACTTATCGCTAAATTTCAACATATACAAAGTCATTGTTATGATCGTGGATCCAGGAGTTGAGAATCTCTCTCTAAGATTTTTTTATTAATTTTTTTATTTTTATACATTAAGAAAAAATTCTATGGTTGAACCAAAAGATTCTGATTATATCAATCAGAATTCTGGTTTATCTCAAGAGTTACAATAGATTCAACCAGAAAATTTTATTTATTCATTTTTATTTATTCATTTTCAACTAAAGTTTCCAATTAATACAGTCTCTTTTTTCAATATAAAATAAATTTATATGACAACAGAATTGATGTATTATTTCTTCCAAAATCTTGAATGTATTCATAGATATTGTTCAAGATGGTCGCCAGATGTATATTGAAAAACTTTACAGATGCCAATATCGCGACTTTGCGAATTATGTTTGTATGATTAAGAAAAAAACATATTCTTAAACTTTATACAAACACGATGTGTTCTACATTATAGTAAGATAAATTGACCTTTTGCCACTTAACTTTAGAATGTTACACTTCCGCGTTCTCTTGTAGAATGTATTTTGTCTAACTAACGTTCATCCTACGCAGAGTTCATATAATTTTCAACATGGTTGCTTCAATTTTGCTCGTAACAGAATCTTGTGTTTTGTGAAATATAAATATTTCGTTGATTCTTGCGCCTAGACGTAACTCTTTTTAGATGGTAGCGATTATATTAAAATGAGGATTTTGAGCAATGTTATTACCGACCTAGCGATAGAACTAGTTTACGTGTCGGCATATTAACCTCGAAACTGTAAATGATTATTGTAACCTAAAAATGGCCACGAAACAAAATTACAGTAATTATCCCGACGTGCTTAACTAAAACGAGGTTTCTTCACTTTGGTCGGTAATTGCGCTAGTATTGCTAGGTTCCTGCTGACATGCTTTATCGGTTGCTTTAGGCCTCTTGAACCTTTCCATCTTCCTTAATCTATCTACTAATCACCAATTTATTTTTGATAAAGTGACTACATTAATCGGGTTTATTTTAAATGAGTTTAGTATAAGAATATTTTCTTTGTACTAATTACGCGCATTTAACAATTTTAATTTTTGTGCAAAGCCCTTTTTCAGAACATTCGACTTTGTTTCCACTGAATAAATTTGAAAGTATTTATCTACGCGTATATATTGTATTTAAAGTTTTTAGTTTATTAAGTGAATAATAGCGGACATATAAAATTGTAGTATACAGCCTATATGTAAGCGTAGCGGCAACTCGAGATTAAGTATAATTTTTCGCAAATTTATGTTATCCAGGTCAATATCAATTTATTCTACATCAAATTTGAAGTGCGAGATTACACGCGCTTTCTGAAATTATGGTGTATATTAACCGATTACCGGCTAGATATTATCAGATACAATTCGGCAAACCAATTAAGTAAACTTGTACACGATAAATACCAAAATTACAGTACATTAGCTGGGTATATGGTACGTGTAATACCCTGTTTTTCCCAGCTAAACGATTTTACGATCAATAATCGATCAATCAGGAAAGTCCTTGCTTCCCGTAATACGATGCGAGGTCGATACTTCTACATCCCTAGAGGCTGAACGCATCATAATCATGAAAACTATTGTCCAGTTAACTATATTGCAGATAGTAGTAGTTAGTTGTAGTAGTTACCAGAAATCTTTCAGCTAATAATGCGATTCTATGCAGCTTCTAATTTTCGAAAAAATATGTGCTCAAATAATCAATTTGATAAATAATTGATTTCAAATTTAGCAAGAATCCAATTGCATTACAATCTATATATTTCGTGTTTTGCTATCAATAATGATGATCTTTTTTTCTACAATATTTGAATCTAAAATTTTCTTCATCGCATTCAATTTAAATTTGTGATTGTGATTTCGTATTTTTCATTATCATTGACGAAAATATCAAATTTGTAAAATAAAGAAGGCATATTGACAATTCTAATAAATAACATTGCAACTATTTTTTTTTCAATTACATTTCATTTTTTAATGTTGTATGCATTAATACAATTTAAAAGATTATAAAACTTCAATCTTAATTTTTTCCTAATTTTGCATTTAACATTTTATTTCTATTGCAACTGATGATATAATCCGGGTAAAAACCATTTAAAAAATCCGAAGAATTAAAAATTTTATAGTCCTAACATTTTTTATTGCTATCAATATATACATGAAAAGATTTTGCTAGAGTAGCTAAAAAAATTTAAGTAGATACTAAGATTAAATAAATCTAAAAATAATTTTATTGGACCATCGAAATAATTATGTAGGAAATTCATGATGAGCAATCAAATTTTGACATTATAGCGCCAATTTGAGCATCATACATAATTTGATGTTTATTTTCAGATCTATATCTAGTTAAATTTTTTGATGTTTAGTAAAACTATTCTTTTCGTAAATAAGGCACTTACCAGATTATTAGCCGTGACCGCGTAACTGACGAGCAAGACAACGAGGACTCGGAAGATCGTGGCGGTGTCGCCGGCGATCATACCCGGAAATGAATCGGTGGATCGCAGCCAGGAGGACGAGCGCAGACGGTTCGGCGACGGAGACAGAGACGCATTCGTCGGCGAGTCAGGCCGGTAGTGCTCCTGTTGTGGACGCATCGCGTCATGATCGCGACATGCTGCCGCTCGTTTCCTGCAAACGTAGGCTCGACGTGGCTCGTGATCGACGGCTGTTTTACACGTATCTACCTTATACCTACCTATCCCACACCCTTGAGACGGAAGACGAGGGAACTACGTACGTGAACGCGTGTATCGCGCGTTCGCGTACGCGGCCGTACGCACCAGACGCAAGTCTATAAATACGGGCACAACTCCACGCGAAGAATTTCAAACAACCGCGCTGTGAAATACCGTCGGTGAGCCCGGAGACTTTGAGATTCGATCCTCCAATGAGTACCACCGTCGTCGAATCTGTCGCGAGATGAACTCTTGGCCTTGACACTGCACCCTAAGTCTGAACTCGATCTGAAACCCAATATAGATGGATCTTGATTTAGACGAATTAATAGCGTAAGAACGTTGGAATTATAGGGAAAGTCTTTCTCAGAAGTTATGCAGAAGAGATGCATCCATTAAAGCAATTATTCGAGTGAATTGCATTTATTTTATTTCATAAATATTTCGATGTGAATTTTAACAAATTTGAAATTTTTATATTCTCTAAAATGCCTTGTATATAATATTAATATTATTAAATTGTTTGTTAATTCAATTTGTGATATTATACTACTACTCTAATTCTGTCTACATTTACATTTCAAAGATTGAAAATGGTTTCGACACACAGAGTTTGCAGAATTGGATATGTATACAATATACAATAGGAAGTAATACAATAGGAAGTTTTTGCAATATCATATCCATAAGGCAACGTTAAAGTCATGTTAATTAGTGAAAAGTTGAACTGTATATGCGCAATGACATTTACTGTATACAGAATATTGCAAAAATTCCCTAATATATAAAATTCACACCAAAAGAGAGTCTAAGCATTAAAAATTAGCTCATATCATGTAGACTGTCGTTACTTAGTTGTTTATTTGAAAAGTTGAAAAACTTAAAAATTAAAAATTATTCTTATAGAATGGAAAGTTTATGACATATATAAACGTTTAATTATAAACATTTAATCATAAATAGAATTTCAGCGATGATTCCAACAATGGTAGTCTGTGTATCTTACATATGCCGCAAAGATTCCTATTATAGCGCAGCATGATTTATATCTCTTCCAGCCGGCGTTCAAGGCAGCTAAGAAACGATGTGTAAAAAAATACACATTTCATGCATTTTAACTAGTTTGTATCCAACGAAACCGTTTGACGTTTCGTTCTCGCGTGCAAATCGTTACAAGATCAAAAGATCGTGCTTGACGTCTCTACTCCTTGAAGAACGCAAGCCTTCATTACTATATACCTCAGTTCCCTAAATAACATACACAGGGAAAATCTTACCCCGGTACTTCAATATATCCGAAAGAATAAATAGCTCGAAATTATGAAAAAAATTCATCGATGCATCGATGCAAGATTGACTGATAAAAGTCATGAATACATCAATAGTCTCTGTTTTGACATTTTAATTCTTATACTTGCTATTTTCGATGTTATTCCGATGAGAGCAATGTATAGCAATAGCAGCCGACGACAGATGTCAGCGACTAGGTAGTAGTGGTAGTAAATGAAGACGTAGCCCACCCGTAGTTTACGCATAAAGACGCGGCGTGATCGCGTTTCGCGTGAATGTCCGGTCTGTCGACGGGCTCGTTGCGGTAACGACGATCGTGCCTGATAGTCGTTTACCGCGAATTGCAGTTCGCGAGATTAAAGGCAGGCCCTGTTTCATGGAGATATCACTCTTCCTCTCCAGCCAGTAAAATTGTCCAGCGTGGAGCACAACGTGGTAGGACTGCGGGCGCGCATAACTGCGGAACCGACTGATATTTTTAGTTCTTTGGACTTCCAACCGACTGTCTGTCTTCACCTTTGAGAGCTACCTAGTTGCTCTCAGCTCGCGGTGATATCTTTGTTCTTCCCCGAAGTGCTCTCTTACATACGTCTGTATTGGCGGTGAAACATGCCGCGTCCCGGTAAGCTTGATCGATGAACCCGCGGTAAGATATTTCGAGTCTTCTTTGAGTCGGCATTCAACATTTGCAAATTATTAGATCTTGAATTCGTTACATACGAACGAGCATCCTACATCCATTAATATCTTGTCACATTTGTTCCTCAATAAGCTAGAGTAACATTTAATATCTTAGTTGCATTATGCGTTAACTTCTTGGCACAAATAAATCAACAAATCGGTTGCTTTTTAACTATTCTTCAGCTTTTTGCCAAGTTCTTCTATTATTCTATCCCGCGCGTATGTCATCAGTAAACCCATATCTCTTTTAGTCCATTAGAAGTTATATTCTCTATAACCGGCTTCATAGAACGATTTTTCGATAATGAAGACGAATGAATCGGGAAATGTAATCATCTTTCTACACCGATAATTCTGTGCGAAGACATTCATCTGTCATCGGAAGCGCGGTAGGATGATTCGATCCGCGATTCATCGGCGCGAAGTGACACTATCCGATGTGTCGCTCGTGTGACAGCCACTCGAGCAAGTACACGCACGTGGCTCCAGGCCGACTGACGAGATACACGCGCGCGAGAGGAAGTATCAACGGAGGCTGCTGAGAGGAGTGGCTGCCAAGCCAGGCGGAAGTGGAGGGTGATTCTGCAGCGGGAACAACCGAGCGGCGGTGGGGTAATGACGGTATCGTCGGCAGATGAGACCTCTACCTCATAGCAGAAGACGCGTTTACGGTCGGTCACGCGTAACGTCCGCGCGAAGATGGATAGTATCGATGCAATGTTTGTTTATCATCATTCAGCAAACGGAAGGAGAACTCATGAAGAGTTCAGCTCGATCAGCAATCGCCGACCGGCCAGACTGGTCTCGCCGCGATAGTATCAGCTCTTTTCCGACATTAATTTTAAAATAGATTAGCTGTTTAATAGCACGATACTAAAACGCTTTTACGCCTGCATCCCGGTTGTTAAGTTCTTGCACGCTCAAATTGCGATGGAGATGTGTGCTCGAAGATTTCTTGTTCAATTAAGATATTAAAGTACGCATACGTATGTGTTACAGATGGAAAGAATCACAAAACATGTGATTTTTTTCATGAGATGTTTGAATCGCCGTTGATATTATCCTTTTAGTACATGATTAGGTCATTCGTATTATGCGCATTTCTTTTCTTTGAAATACTAAGAGCATTTGACTAAATAATAATCTCAATCCTCTTTTTTTTTTATACATAACTTTATAAATATTTTTTAAAAATGTTGAAATATTGTATATGAAAATCACTCGATAATTTTACAGGTTTTTAAAATATTAGTAACATTACATTATTTTCATTGTCAAACCGATGATCAATTGAATTATTGATGTTATTATTTTAGGTTTAATTTGAGATTGAATTTTAAGGTAAGTTTTTGACAGTAAGTGTGATGCACAGTTTATGTAACTGAAAGATGTATTTAGAATTTTCATATAAAAATATTATTTATTAGGTTTCTAAGATCTAGTCTCGATTGTATTACTTCTTTCCTTACTTATTTGGTTTATAATCTTTTTATACTTATAAAAGTGATAAAAATTAACAAGATACGATCCATCGTGTTTAGTAAAGAACTGGAAAATCATCGTTTGTACTAAGACTTAAATGTTTATGCTTCTATGAAACATGATCTTCAGTACTTCAATCGAGACTTTAGTACAACTGAACATCTAGGTCACACTCGAACATATATCCCGTACGAGATGACAATAAAAGATGTGAGAAATCTCGAAGAATTGTCGCGACATTAAAACTTGAATGATTCGATGATCCTATAGTGTCTAATATTAATCGTCATGTCAATCAAATCGACTTAGCGATATTCCTCAAACTTTTTTAAAAGATATAACGTAATTAGAAATTATTGCTATGCAATCATTAATTTGGATCAATCCGGGAGGACTGCACCTTCGTAATTCTAAACTTATTCATTCAATTTCGAAAAGGAGAAGCAGAGACTGATCACGGTCAGTTGAAGGATTTGGTTAATGACACACGTCGCAGTTGCCTACCAAGTATCCCTGTGGTCTGGGCCACGCCCCGCTCTCGCAAGAAGATTACACGAAATTGGCTGTTTTTAGGGAAAAAATAAGCAAGAAGCATGCTCGCTCTTCAGGCCGGTGATTTTGTTCCCGAAACGAGGATCGCTTTTCGACCTAAGCGAGACTGACTCACGTAAACGATACGCTCGCGTTCGCAAGAGCAGGTCGGAGGCGTTCCGCTCGTTTGAGGAAACTGTTACATTGATCAAAATTGCTCGCGTCCATCTCACGCCGTATATAATGATTACGCGTCGACGTCACGATGTACTTGCAATAACGAAGATTAACTGTATTTCATAGTGAGCGAAACGCGATTAAAGTACGCGTCTCATTATCGCCACTGGTATCGCAGCGATCATCAGATTCGTCTGTCTATTCGATAATGTCGCCTCGAGGGAACCAATTTTCAAATTACGTACAGGAAAGAATAGTTTTGCTGAAGAATTAAAAAATTTAGCTAAGTATAAATCTAAAAATAATTTTGTTGAACATAAATTATGTTACTTTTCTTAAGAAATATTAAATAAATTTAATACAAAATATTTAAATACGTAATCACATTATGTTAAATTAATACTTAAATATATTAAAATTTTAGAACAAAATTTATCAAGGACTTAAGTGGATGTTTTCAAGTATTCATAAATATAAAATATTTTTTACCGAATCGAGTAGTATAGTATTTCTTTATAGAATAGTATTTTTTTTATTCTTTTATAGAATAGTATTTTTTTAGATTTATTTATAAATATTTTAAATAAATAAAAAACTAAATATATAAATAAATTTTTAATTATTGTTATATGAATATATAATAAACAAACAATAATAATAAACAATTAAATAAATAAAAATATTTACAAACATAATATAGATTGAAACATTACTTTCGATGTGATTTTTCGGCACAAACACACTATACAAATAACTGCTCAACCTAACATCTCGCGTTACTTGAGAAAAAGTAGAATCAAAGAGTTAAACTGTTTAACATGTTTGAAGAACATGTTTGAATTCATTTGTTTTAGATATAATATTTGCAATATTACGTTTGTTCTCGTGTTACTTTTATCCTTGGTCTCCTCTACAAGTAAACGAGGTCATTGA